GAATTCATGTCACCTCCAAACAGCTGCGAAACTTCTAGTATGGAGTCACCCATAAATAGCTACCTGGAGACCAGTACTCTCGATCTGGATGACCTCCATCATCGAGGGTAGAAATGTCCGATAAGAATTTAATAAAGTGTAACTTATAGCGCCTCGAAAGTCGAGGAAGAAAAGTCTTTTTTTTTGCCTTCCCCCTGTATAGTTCAGTGGTTTGGGCATGTGTCAAGACAATCGCAATTCTTTGCTTTGATGGGCGTCGCGTGCGACGCACCGCCTGCGATGTCTCTAGGTCTTAGGTGGCGACAATAGGCAATATGTAGCCAGGAATAGCCATAACTGTGTGCACTGTAGTTCTCGTGCAATCCGGTACTCAATTCAACAGGTTAGTGCAAACTAAGAAAACGTCGCGCTCATCGCCACGTGAGGCGGAGTTGTCCGATTGTCTTGACCGTCTAATAAGTAACTCAGCATTCGCCTTGGAATCGTAATCAAAGCTTTCTATCTCTTCGAGTGATAAACCCTTTTTCAGTTGTTTATTTCCATTTCAATATCATTATGGTCACACTTGCCACGATCCTTACATCGATTGTGATGCGAGTTCACTCAAAGGTGCGTTTTTAATTGATGCTGATTGTTCCGCTAAAAGCTTCCGAATTCCCGTATGGTATCGTGCATATCGAAGGGCAGGAGGAGACGTGGCTGCTGCGAGAGAGGCGAGGGTCCAGGCAAAAGACGGGAGAGTTGTATGCATAAGAGAAGGGGGTCGGGAAGGAGAACGCAGCCGCGCCCCTTGCTCCCCTCTGATGTGGACTGTACAAAGTTCGGCTGATCAAATCCCAGCTGAGTGCATGAGTACCATCACTAGGACTGACGGGGAGTGCCAGCGGGCGTAAGTTTTGCTTGGGCGCTGGCCCGGGCGCTAGCCGGTATTCCATCGATCGTTGGGGCTTTGAGCGTTCAATGAGTGGTGAAAAGGAGCTGGCGCCACCCCAAACTCACGCTCCGCTTCCACGCCCCTACTGACTTCGGGGATAAATACTACCTGTTACGCATTCGACGTTACCCGAGTACCCTAAAGAGACGGTTTGTCTAGTAGTCATGCATGAATATACTGCTTCCACGATCTCTGTAGGGATTTTCTGCTCAATTATTACCTCCACCAAAATGGCTGTTACGATATTTGTTCATTCGGCAACCTGAATTTGGACCTGCCTGCACAAGTGGTGGCACCGTAAATTTTGCCAGTTGGAAGCGCCAAGTTATCACGGAACAATGGTCAAAGGTACGTAACAAGAGTTTCGCTCTGTGAGGGTTGATGTCAAGTTTTGAATTTACAATTGCCTTTAGCGTATTTTGAGCCATCAGTGTGCGTTCATACTTTGCGGGAGCGTAGATTAAGAGATTGCGCGTCAAAAGGGAGTGTAATAATTGATCTGGTGGATGGCGGAAGGATCAAAAGGGCGCGAATTAGGATCGTGCGCGCCGAAAAGTAGATTGGGACCGATCCTTGGTAGCCGGCGAATCAAAAAAATTAAGAACCAAAGAAGGAGTTCAGATGCTCCTATTTGACCGATTCGCTAGATTGGTCCTCATTCTTTTTTTTCTTTGCTGTGCATGGCCCTATTCTCCTGTTCTACTAGTTTCCGGTGTCGCGAAGTATGAACGCGTCCTGATGGGCAACGACGGGCTGGTCGCATTGCGTTTGTTATCGATTGGTTTGTTGTCGATCTTTCTATTGTCGACTGTCAGAGATCACGCAGCTGGATGTGGTCACTGGTGAAATGTTGCAGCCACGCCCACAGAGTAAAAGAGTATTTGCCGTGCACGTCACCCTGCCTCAACGCCTCTTCAGCCGTTCTCGGAACTAACGACCTCCACCTTTAGCAGATAGGTCTATTTACCTCAGTGAAGTGAACCGTTAAATCAGTACTGCTGAAATCTTCACAAGATTGAAGTTCAGGAAAGCAGACGGTATACCCCCGAAAATCGCGCATGAAGGTAAATGTGTCGGGAGGCGGGGGAGGAGGTTCTATTGTGGGGCCCACAAGCGGGAGCTACGCCATTTCCGCTCTCTACCGCCTAGGCGTGAACTGAGGTGATCTGTGTGCACCCGGTGGTCCAGCGCACTCAGTTTTACGCGCAACAGGGTAACTGTATCCCACGTGTTCTCTTGAACGCATACACTTCAGTTCAGTGCGGACGGTTGGGCGTGTCAGGCAGTATGAGTATAGTGAGCTACGCCGCGCAGGAAAGATGCGTTCAACGTGTGTCTACCGTCAATCATAGGAAACTACTCTTATCGGCAATTCGGCTATGAAACGATCATACCCGAATTCGTAGTGACATGAGCAAACAGATTACAAGGCACTTCTATAAAAGGCGGGAAAATAAATATTCAATTAAAATACACGACAAAAAGAGAACAGAAGGATATACACAACACGTTAAAGGAATGGTGACGGGCTTGAGAGTAGAGCCACGTTGAACTGCCATAGAAGAGAGCAGGGCCTCGCCCTGAGTAGAGGAACCGAACCGCCTCATCGGTCCATTCTCCAGTCAATTCCCTCTGCTCGCCTCCTCCGCCGCTTCATCACGCCTCCTGAAAACATTCAGAAGAGTCACGGCTTCGTCACCCTAACCCGCCACCGCCATGAGGCGCGGCTTACAGTGTGTCACCTCGTCAAAGCCGCTCTCTGCCTTCTTGTTGAAGCGCGCATGCGACAAAAAGTGGTAGAAAACGAGTAATACGAACGATATGATACAGTCATATCATTTGCTCGCTTTAACAACTGGTGGAGAACGGGTTTGGCACCGCGCCAAACTCATCCCGCCTGACACGCCCAACCGTCCGCAGCGAAATACGCTATATATTGTGAGATCGATTGGGCATTCTCAAGTTTAATTTGAAATAATGAATAGTAGTAACTAGTAAGTTCTTGTGGGATAAAGTCTGTTCTCAGAGTAAAGAAAGTAATTTACAGGTCTCTCGTCGGATGGACTACGCTATGGCTATCGCCTTTCTCATTACCGTTACTGCACCGACTGCATATCTATTTCTCATATGTTTTTCATCGACTGACACGGCGCAGGAGAAGGCACTTATAGCAGAATCTCGAGAATCCGTGCATAGAGTTTGAGCTTGTTACTTAATTGTTTACCTCACAAGCAAAATAGAGGGGTTACTCCTCTGTTATCTACACCTCATACACATGTTTGTATTATCAAGCGAGTATATGTTGTCCATATCGTCAAATCCTTTATGAACGAAACAGTTGGCTCAACAGATGAGAGACGCGTGCGTTGGCGATAACGGTTAATGATAGCGGCAGTATAGTTGATGTCGTCACTACCAGTCGTGGCTGTTGGAAAACGGATGGGATGAGTCTACTGCGCAGGGTACAGCATAGGGATAGGCGAAATGTCGGTGTGAGTACGACCCCCCCCTCCGAATGGGGTCCGCGCCACGACCCCCCCCCCTTTTTTTCCCCGTTGGTACGACCCCCCCTCAGCTCGACCGGCTCTTTCGCCGACTGACGAGCGATGAGTATATAGTCGGCGAAAAAGTCGTCGGGCCGGGGAGGGGGTATACAATAATTATGCAACGTATATCCGGCGGGTGTACAGGGTGCATATAAACAAAAAATTAATACGACCCCCCTTTTTCCACAAGAAAAAATCAACTATCAAAATAAATTTGTCTTACCCCAAATACGACCCCCTCCCCAGAGCAAAAGTACGACCCCCCATGTGTTTCACACAACGATGCTGTGCCCTGCTACTGCGTTTCCACTTCTAGCTGATTTCTTGCTGAATCGTTCGCTAAGCGACTACCATTGGTTGAGCCAGGCAGCCGGAGACAGGCCCTCCTCCCGATGCCGCCCCGACTGATTACGACGTTATCAACTATGCGTTTATTGAATTTCTCTCTTTTTGCACACATTCTTTCTATTTCTCCCAATTCATTCATGATGTGATGTTGGAATCTATTCTAAATTCCACAAAAAAGGAATTTTCATGAAATTTTTGTACAGCCTATGATCAAGAATAATAAATGATCTCGATAGTAGAGGAAATTCTGATGGTACAAATTGATTATATCGAGCAGGACAAAAAGAAATACATTGGAGGACGGTACCGCTGTCGTGTTGGATGGCAGCGCAGGATTCAGCCTTTGAACGCGTAATCATTTGTGAAAGGCTCGCACACATGTCCCCACCAGTGCGTCACCCCCACCTTTGCAAGGCAGCCTCTAGCCTTTGACCCGAACTACTGCCCCACTATTACAAATGATTCAGCCGCTGAGAACAAATAAATATTAGAGCCATAAAGCTGGTGGGGCATGAAAACATAGTACAACATGAACCGATGAAGTGGTGCTGTCAGTACGCCCCCCCCCTCCAAAGTTTCCCCTTGTAATACAACTCCTCAGAATTTCCTTCTCTAAAGGTGTTTTCCCTCCTGTCAAATTGCCGATTTCCTCCAACTGCTTCCCAGTTCCCCAAAACGTTCGAGAAGGTTTCCCGGAAAACTAGCGTCTGGCCGGTGAGCGGGGGGAGAGGGGGAGAAGGCAGTCCCTCTCGAGCTACCCAGAAACAAAAGTTGCCTAGTAACAGTGTTGCGGCGCTGCCAACTAGGAGAAGAAGGGGTGGGGGGGGGCTATTATAGAACGCTAGCAGGAAAACAGAGAAACGAACAGTCAGAAATTTTTACTTACGCAACATTCCCACATAGGACCCTCTCCCCTTTGACCGAGTAAGACCTCCGACGGAATCTCCCACCGTTCTTTTACCTTGCGTGCACATCTCCGTGCTGTTGCGAATGAAACAGAGGCATGCAACCGTACAAAATACTCTTCCAACACCGTGCTCAGTAGGCCTAGAAGGCTATGAAGTCATGGATGGTCAAACGGGCATCCCATGCCGGCAACGGAGCGACTATGTTACGGCTGACCTTAAGTCGACCATTCTGGGCGCGTGCCAACTTCGTGTACTCGAATTGTCTTTATTCGTGCGTAATTGTTTCTGTTTAGCTTCGATTTGAATACATCAATTAACAATGCAAGCATTAATGATTTTCCGAGAATAGTACCGGAAAGCACAGTATTTTTCATGCAGGGTTTGTTCCCATTTCCACCAGATTTTGCAGAATCATCACCTTTCCAGACTGTTCTTGTGTTCACAAATGTCTCTTCCCATGAATTTGTGACCGGAACAGACGCAATGCCAGATAAAAGAGTTTTTCACACGCTCGCGTGACACCAGGCGCTTTCATCCCAAGACTACATCCATACATCACGAATGTCGAGAATCACTGACTTGGGAGAATGCACGATCCCACATTCGTAATGTATGAGCGTCTTCTGGGACTGTGATCAAGCATGATAGCTCCGGAAGGATGATATTTTAAGTCAGGGCACTGGGACTTTCATTCATATCGAGAAACCGGGGGATTTCAGAGTATGCAAGAATCGGGAAATAGGTGGCACGGTCCGGCATCGATGTCGACGAGAACTGTGTAAGAACGAGTTCGAATGAATAAGTTTGGGAAAGATCAGCAAGACAAGCAAAGTGATCCCCACTGGCTATAGTCGTGGACCTTGCTTTCCGAATTTTGCGGCCCTCTCTTTTCGCATTAAAGTTGGCTTATGACCTCCAGTGAGACTTTGGAACAGCAGTGATAGGGTAGATTCAAAGTTCCGACTGCGAAGTGGTCGCTCTCATTAAGAAACTGTCCACCAGGAGTGAAAGCTTCTGGAACTGTGAATAATCACCATAGCTTCAGAAGCAAGTGCCATATTTGCAGATACGGCACTGGGATTCCCTAGGGACGGGGTTCCGGGAAACAAGCCCTCTTTTTCAGGTTGTTGTGTTGCTGTGGTCGAAGAACCCACAAAGCCGTAAGGCCGCGTTCAGACTTCGCGACGGCAGCGCTTCGGTCGCGCGTTCGACGGATCGATGCGCATGCTTTCGACTGCATCGATCGCGTCGAACGCGCGACCGAAGCGATGTCTGAACGCTGCCTAACCAGCCACCGCCGATTGCAATAACTTCTATTCAGCTTCCGTTGCGGATTCCTTATACGGAGTCTTGCCCGCTGCGAATAAAAGGACCTGGCAGTCAGGCTAGGTTTGAACAGCCAGTCCCTCCTCCTCCAGTTGTTGCAGCAGGTAAGCGACAACAACTAATGAGGAGCGACTGATGCGAAGGAAATGATACAGAATTGTCGCCTACCGGCAGAAAATAAAAACGAATGACGGGGTGGCACCGCTCCGCAGCCAACCTGCTCCAACAAGGCCCGTCATGGGGGGGACAAGGCTGTACAACCAGAGACTCGTCTTAATGTTGAGGATAAAATTTCGCAAAACACGACTCCTCTTGAACTTACTGAACTGGTTACTGAATCGTTATCATTTATCGATTGTCAAAAACAGCTCACAAAATTATTAAACGCTTTGTTATTCACATCAATGAGCAATGAGTTGACATTGGATGTTAATGATAATGAAGTTATACAGTCACACAAATTTACAATAATTAAAGGGTTTTCATATAGGATTTCTCATTTGAACGTTTTCATCGATGAACACCAGGAACGGATTGTTATGTGTACTTAATGACTCCGAGTAATTTTACGAAATCATTGGGCAGATAGTTCACATTGCAGTTTTCGTCCTGGTCAGCAAATAACCTATCTAATACCCTTAATTTCCCGTGTCAAAAATTGTTATTATATGGCATAGAATACGAGCTGGACAACGGAAATAGAGAAATTATACAAAGCTGTATTTACAAGCACATGAAGGACACCTAAATCACCGCATTATCCACATAACCAAGTGCATCCTTAATTCGTTGCAAGCAGATTTTTGCACCGCGACGACATTCGGGAGACATTAAAGTGAAGTTCAGGAAACCATGTGGAACAGCAGGCAGCAGATCCATGGACGCTACACGGCCGCCCGCTGCTTGAACCCGTTGAGCAAAAGCGATAGTGTCGTCCAAAAGCGGATCCAAATGACAGGCCTAAATAATCACGTTTGTGTCAGGAGACAAGTACTGATAGAAGAGACTGGATGTACAACTGAATCCCGATGTGCAGGATAGTGAATAGCCTGCAATCCGCGATCACCAAATCGGGCGCTAACAACGCTGGAGGGGGCGTTCAAAGGCAAGCTGCACATTCCGTGCACCTCCGAGGACGGTCCTTGTCATGCGCGAGAAAAACGGCAGGTGCACTGTCTTGTTCGCTGCGGCTGAAAGGGTCGTGTCGGTGGATTTGGCGCGCCGCCAGCTCACTCTCCATCAGTTGCTGGGGAAGGTACGCGACAACAGTTTGGTGGAAAACCACTGATACAAACGATCTGATGGAGCTTTGCCGCTTGCCAAAAGAAAAAAAGGAATAGAGAAGAGCTAGCGTTGAGGCTGAATCCAACCCTCTGACCGGCCCATCATCCGAAGCGAGCAAGACTGCATAACTGTACACTTAATATCTAAGCAATTGTTGGGTCGCGACCAGCGGTTCTGAATTGCGGCGTTTCCATCATTGGTTGTTTCCTTCCTAAATCGATCTCTACCCGATCGCCATTGGTAGAGCAAGGGAGCCGAACGCGGACTCGAACCGCGCTGCTCACGCCGCCTCCGACAGTCCGCAATGATGAGGACTGTACCACTTCGTCATTCTAGGATGCGCGAATGCCGTTTGAGACTCCGCCCTTTTCATCTTCAAGGTTTAGTACATACGTCGACATCAAAATCCCGCAGCCAACATTAGAACCGTCCAGCTTTATTTTCGTGGACTATCGAAAAAGTTAGACTTTTACGGCCTACCCATCGCACAATTTTCATTCGAATGGTACTCTCTGAAACCACTGATCAAGGTTGGCCATGTGTCGCGACAGGAACTAGAGCGGTACCAAGGTTGTGGAATATTAAATGAACGGGTATTGTCTAGAACAACTTTTTGTCATGGCGATTATCTTCAGAAGGTGAGTGTGCCACGTTGCTCAATCATCTCGCTTGCGAACCTTTGTATACTCCGTATCCAAGAGATGCGGGGGGCGTAACTTTGTATTCATTGAAAAGTGGCTGCGGTTCCGTTTTTTGGAGGGATGCTGCTGTTTCAGCGCGACAGTATTCATGAATTTGTTCACCATTAGAGATGATGGCAGTTGTTTCAAGTGAATGAACTCGACGGAAAACGCATCCTGCACCAGCTCCAAATGAAGTGAACAGCCACGCCTACTCCATTTCCGGATAAGAAGTGATATGGTCATTCTAATATGTTACTCCGTCTGTCGGAGGCGGCTCCAGAACTCGGCACATAACAAGCGCACGATGAGCGCCAAGCACATGGCATTACTATGTACTGGTACATTACTCACCACAAAATAAACTGGTGGTAACTGTCGTATAACTTCATCGGTTGCATACATCGGCGATATCAACGGATCACGTGGCACAGAGCTCTTGCTCAATAAATCCAATATGAACGATTTACGTATGCATGGCTCCTAAACATAACGTTTAATTATCGATCTGCAGTTAGAGTTCTTCTTTTGTAATTTCTTTCCAATTAAAAAGCGTCAAGGGCCAGCTAGTATTCTGATGTGAGGACTGAACGATCTCTATCTGATAAGCATGATTTTGTTGAGATTCCTGAGCAAGGGTTACAAAGTGCAGCTCGAGGTTGCTCCTTTACTGGGTTATTTATCTAAGAAGTCTTCAGAGTTAATGATAAAATTTACTACGAAAACTATTAACGATACCTCGGTTTCAAGTGGTTCCTTATGGGAGACGGTTCGATCTAGCTTTTGCTTCTCCTTGCTAGGTTTTTCAAACCAGTCCTGTAAATTGTCAAGAGCATGTCCTGCTGCTAGAACTGCTGTATCAGCAAGACTTTGTGAAAGAGATCGTTTATGGACCTGAAAGATTGCAAAAATCAATGGACACTTTGCCGTTTAAGTAGCAAGACAGTGGGCACGATTGCCGGAGGCGGGTGGTTGTTGCCAATGTCACTGGTGGAAGGGCTGTCAAAGGATGTTTCGTCACGCCCTACACAGTCCTTCCACCAGTGTCGTTGGCGAGAACCGTCCGCCCCTAGCAGTCTTGCGCACTGCCTTCAAGATGACGGCATAAAATAGCCTTGAACAGCGTCCTTAGCGTAACTTGAAGAAGAAAAATCAGAAGTCACTCTAGGGTGTGTGACGTGGGTGTGACTTGGAGCGCGGCCAGGGCGGATTTCCCACCAATTATGGCGGACTCGTGATGATACCATCATGAACGTCGCCGCGGCTGCTCCAGTGTGCGCAGCTTCACACGCCTTACCATTTGCAGCAATAATGAATGTATGTTCTTGGTAACTTTAAGAAGAATAAGGCTTATTTTTGATAGGACTAAGAATATTAATGTTCAAATATTACCTGAGCGGTCTGACTCTGGAAATTATTAGATGATGTACTGCTGATGATGCCAGCTCGACCTTCGCATGGAGTGTTTGGAACGGTGTTCGACGCTGCACCACCACTGATGACATTCAATAGGCCCGGACGTTTCCTCTCTTTCTCCTCTGGTACAGGATTTGCCGTCAATCCTTCGTCGATGTCCTCAATCACTTCCCCGTTTTCGTCGACCATCGTCAAAGAGCTAAAGAAAAGCGAGCGAATAGAAATGAAAACCAACAGAAAACAGAGTTAATATCGTCACAACCAGTCGAGGTGGTTCAAAAGGGGAGGAGCGTGCCCACCCGCGGCGTTTCAACCACTGTTTGATTTTTTCCCAAATCGATCACCAACCGGTCACCATTGGTAGAGCAAGACAGCCGGAGGCAGGCTCATTCCGCCCCTGCTTTAACCGCCCACTGCTTGCGGCTTATCAACTACTTACTCAATTTACTTACTCTTTAGTTGTTGGATGTTTGATGAGGTAGTTTAGGAGCTGATTATCGAAAATTGTGGACGAAAGTTGGATATGTAAGGGATCAGAGCCGATCTAAACAAAGTAGATCAACACTACGAGATAAAGCGAACAGTTATACCTGAATTCCTTACATGAACACTGCTCACACTCCGGGTGTCCTCATCTTCCTCACTACCTTCCTCTTCAACCTCATCCTCAGCAATTCGGTCCTGTTTTTCTTTGTCTACGAAAAAGGAGCCGGCCTCAGTTGGGTGTATTTGTTCATTGGGATCTTTCACATTTTGCACCAACGACACTATCGATTGAGAACCACCCTGAAGAAAGATCAATATCAGTGGTGACGCTAATTATAGCAAAATCAGTTCCTTAATGTCATTTATCATATTAGAAGGGCACAACGGGTCTTATGAAGACGGTGTCAAGGCAGTGGCTGATTTTTCCTAAGTCACGCGGACTATATACAGTCTTGCTCGCTGCCGATGTGATCGCTAGCCAGCTTCCTCGATTGGGTGAAAATGGACTGGCGCCGTGCCAAACCCAGCTTCCCGGGCACCCCGCAGCGAGTAAGACTGTGCCCCCCCCCATTCAATGGCGCAACTAATATTTTGGTTTTTTTTTATAGTTGACCAGAGCTATATCTGCCCCTCTCTCAACCCTTGCTTGACAGCAAATGTTAGGAAAACTAGGATGACAATATGTAGGCACAAAAAGGGGCAAACTGAAGTAGGGATGGGTCGTATTTTTCAAACGTTTCGTACAACAGATGATGTACCCTCATTGCTTTTAGTATATTTACAGCCTTGCTCGCTGCAGATGATGGGGCGTGGCAGTGAGGTGCGCCACCAGCCCGTTTTCCACGAGTTGTTGAAGCGTTTAAGTGCCAAGAACCAGGGAAAAAACGATTAATGCGGACAATCTGACGCAATCTCGTCGCTTTCCGAAAGAAAAAAAAAAAGAAAAAAAAAACGGGCTGGCTAAACCCATTCTCCCTTGATACGCCCAATCATTCGCAGCGAACTGGAGCATAGCTGACAGCATTTTGCATAAGCGCCTGCAATTCAAAAATGACCAGGAAAAATGAATTCCGAGCCGCAAACAAGCTCAGTCTCTTTGTTGACCAATGTGGGCTTCAGTCGCCATCGGTCTCATACCGAGGAGCTGATGCCACTCCCAGCGAAGCAGTTTAGCGGTGGTCCTGAGCCTTGAATTTCTGATCAGCAATAAATCCCTAGATGCTGTAGTGTATAGGGGATTATTCTTGGGTGTGAAAAGATTTATGAGGTTAGAATCCCACTGATCTTGGACTTCCCACGACCTGACGAGGGTTAGAAAGCCGAAACGTAGGCTGATTAAATCGTAACATCATCTCAGCAGAGGCTACAAGATCATATTCAAATCAGACCTCACAGGAAGCCATGGTTTATGGATGGTCGAACACTGACGATCATAACAGTAATTATAATAAGTTAATTAACTCCTCCGGTACTGACACAAGTAACTAGCATTACAGAATTAATTGTCAGTATTTAATTTGCAATAATTAGCAGCATGTAATTAGCGATAATGAGTTACTGACAACTGACTTTGGCATCAGATCTGGCTGTGAGAGCAAAAACAGCTGCAGAACCCCTGGTCGACCCCGCAAGTCGTTTTTTCGGCACTCGAAAGAGTTTCTGAACGGAAGTCAGAAGCGCGGCGCAAACCAGAGGGATTAATCTTCGTCCAGCTCTCCTCTTGATTATTCTATCAAAGCTTTTCAACGGAGCTATCAAGTTCAAACTAGTACAATAAGTGTATGGATGTAGTTTGTAGTTGACCAGAAATGAATTACTGCTTAATTCGGTCATTCGTGACTCTTGTACGTAACTACTGAACCTCATTCTAAACTCTGTTCCGCTCACTTAAGTAGTGAAACTTACCGCAAAGTCAAACCGTTGAGATTTCTGGACTTGTTCCACGTATTCCTGCAAGGACTTATGTCCTGCATTATCTTGGTTCTCTTCAATCCTTTGAAAGCTCCCATAACCTCCAGTGTACGCTGTAAATAACAAAGTAAATTAAATCAAATTGTCAAATTAAATTAAACTAAATGGTTATTGATCACGTGTGGCAGATGTTCGGCGCATGAATCACCAGGGCCGACGCGAATTGACGTTCAATAAGTGTTCGCGTTCGCAACATTGGCATTGTGGCCGGATGGTCTAGGGGTATGATTCTCGCTTCGGGTGCGAGAGGTCCCGGGTTCGAATCCCGGTTCGGCCCAACTTTTGCAAATGACTGAATTAATAAAAATATGGATGGGTCTTTGTTCCTGAACACCAATGGGTCTCCTGCAGTAAGTTTAAACGCTGTTTCATGCTACGAAAGTTCAAAAATATCACCGCCATTGAAAGCAATATTCGCGAATGTTTTATGTTCTGAATTATGTTGGACAAACCGTCGGTATTTCGTCATTGTTCTATGGAGTAATACCAAATACCAAAAGTAATAACTGTAAGACTTACCGGCAACACATCGCAATACAACTCCCATATGAAGAAGGGGATCCATTACACTCAATAACCGAGATGGTGAAGGTAGATACTGAAACAGAGGTCGAGTAATAAATCGAATAACTATTAATAGACATACTGGTTTTAAAAAACATTAGTCCTAGCAAATATTCATAAATTCATCACATTACCTTTGCAGATGTAAATCCGCACTACATGAAAACTGATTTATTCATTCTCTGATAATTCAACCTGGGACACTCAGAGGTGGGTTTGGGAGACCAAGATGGCGAACTCGGCGTTATATTGAACTCCAAAGTGGAATTTATTGATTGCGCCACCTTTTTACGGCATAGAGGGAGACACACCTTTGTTCAAAGGAAAAAGGGAAATTGCCATTTTCACGAAAATTTCAGTTGCAAATGGAACTTATTACTCATTTGCATTTGGAAGGGAAGTGGGTGAAAAAACGGCGCAATGAAAAATGTGCCAAAATAGAAAATTACCTGAAATAAAAACGGTGTGTACACGGGAACAATACCATCCGGTTTCTTTTTCACATCCAACTCAATCAGTCGAAGATTCACTGACATTATCAAATTACCACCAGCTGAATCTCCAACCATGCACATTTTCTCGCCAGTCCAACCTGTTCAAGAACAAGAGTTATGTAAGTAGGTAGAAAAGAACCCTAGGAGAGGAAACATTTGACAAGCGGGGAAGTACAGTCGTCATCCGGGCACTTGATTAGGCGGCCAAGGGGTTGCGAAACGGCTGCGGCGCGTCACGACCGCGGCGCAACTGTTTCCAGCCTGGTTTAGCCGTTTTCTCTCTAATTTTTACTGCTTTTTGGCTGCTTTTCTTGAGGTTAGTTGTTTATTTTCTTCACAAAATAAATCATGATTGGGATTTCTCCTAGTTTGAGACACAAACATTTTATTACAAAATCAAAAAAAAGAATTCACGTCCTAGTACATTTCATAAGGCAATAACACAACTTACCTGGGGAAAATTACAAAATGCAGTGAAAACTAGGGAGAAAATGGCTAAACCGGCTGGAAACAGTTGATCGCCGCGGTCTAATGAGCCACAGCCGCGTCGCGACCATTTTGCCGCCTCACCAACTACCCGGATAATGACTGCATTATAAAGGCGACATTTGGCTCCCGCTTCTACCCTATGCGAAAAATTTCGGTCAAAATCTAGCCTAGGATTTATACAGTGAAGTAGTAAAGGTGAAAAATGCCAAAATAATAAACATTCCAGTTAAGGAGAAGAAGAAAGCTCTGAAAAACTAATTCTGATTTCAGTACTCACCGACTAAATGTGGATTATTGATGATCCACGCATAGGCGAACATTACTTCCTCGGTGGGCCGTGGGAAAGGATTCTCCGGCGCTAACGAATACTCCACTGATACCACAGTACAATTTAAAAGTTTTGCCCACATTCGGAGGTAGGTCTAAAGGAGTTATTGAAATTTATTGAAATCAGTGCCTTCAACACTATCTAAAACAATTGAAAAATTTCTGAAAAATACCGATACCTCATGCGATTTACTTGAAGTGGCTACATATCCTCCACCATGACAATGAAAAACTATATAAGGTGAGGCTGGTTGTTGATTTGAACTACCCGCTGGAGACTGTAATAATAATTGAGTAATTTGATTAAAAATTGTAAAAAAACTGTATTAAGCGATCACCATGTGAGGTCGATGTACAGGTGATAAGATACGTATTTGCACTGGACGTGGACCGGTATGAGCTGTTGGTTCAGGTATTTTCACTTTACCACCTTGGGTGGTCTCCACTGTGATAGGACCTACCCAGTTGATTTCACGCAACTCATTAATGGCCATGTTTGGACTGAACCATTTCGGCATATTCTGAAACAATAGCTTGTAATAACTTGTATGACAGAAATTTATGAATGTTATTACTCTTAGAAAAGCAGAGAATTTAGTATTGAGCAATCCTTTTTTGGGGAGGTCCACAAACTACACTGAAATTCTGTGTCGGATACAATTCATACCACAATATTAGAGCGCCAGTCAATTCTCGCCACTCCATATCCTGGAATGGATTGGGCGTGGCCAACTACTGATTTTTAAATGATTTCTCGTGTTTTGATGCGTTTCTCGTGGGACATTACCATTCAAGACAATTGCCACGCTGTCCTGTGTTCGACCAGGCCATTATTGGAATTGCCCTAAAACGACAGTATTCCATCAGAAGCGCAGTCGCCGCTACATCTGAATGAAGTACGCGGCCACGCCCTCTCCATCTCCTGGGTGTTGAGAGTACAAGCTCGGTACTAAGCCAACAATAAGGATGAAAGATTAGGTTGGCTACAGTGGGATGCGACAAAGATTCGATTTGGAGTCCGCGCGTGCAGCAAGCAAGACGCCAAAGCACCCCAGCCTCGCATCTAGGGAATTCGTTTTTTATGAAATTCAGTAGAAAGTGGGTAATCTTGATCAACGCTAATCAAACCATACGAGGCGCGCCATGCAGTTGACATATAATCGCAACTGTAGAGGCAGCATGAATGCACATTCGTTTTCGCTGCAAACGTTGAGGTGTGTCCGGTGGTGTGGTTTTGATGCGACGCTATCCCCTCCTCTACCAATTGTTGAAGCGGACAATCGACAACAATTGGTGGGAAAAGGGCTGACGCCCCCGGCCCCCTGACACGCCCCACCGTCTGCAGCAAAAATGGCTCTAGTTAGGTCCCCATACAAATGTACCCTGACACGCCTTACCTTTACGCGCTACTGAAAGCAGAGAAGCACAACGAGCAAAAAACAAATAATTGTAGAAAAAGGTAAATACGATTAAAAAGATAGCAATATCATGCCAAAAGGGACTCTAAAAGAAGAAATTGGCACTCACATTGCTTAACTCTGCCAAATTCCAAAATCCTTTACAAAAGTCGATGTCTGCTTCTTTTGTAACCTGAAAATGATCTCAAAGTCCAGTATTCCATTACTGTCACCTTTGCTGCCCATATTGTATTACTACGAATGGTAATACTACAGTGTGTAATGCTACATGAGCAAGCGTTGTTGCTAAAAACACTCCCGGTCCATATCCTGAGGTTGGGGAGGGCGTGTCAAAGAATTAACGTGAGCGTGGCAGCGCTTCACAAGCACGAAACCGCTGCCACACTCAGAACTGTGTACGTGGACGCGCCCTCCTCATCTCTTCGATATGAAATTGGTTTGGAGCGACTCAGCTGAGGCAAGAGAACATACCTTAACGATCCGCGAAGCTCGTTGTTCAGGACTCAGAAAAAACCGTCCCGTATTTATGATTGAGCCAATAGGACCATGTCCTTTTTCCCATGATAAACTGTATGATGCAAGCACAATACCTATCACTCGGAATATCCTATTTACAGAAGGTGAGAACTGAAAAACAGAATCATTATTCAGCTTGATCAGCAGTATAGAGGCAGTGGGTACGATTGCTGGGGGTGGACGGTTGACGCCAGCGTTATTGGTGGAAAGCCTGCGAGAGGGCATTTGACCTCATTCCTACCCAGCCGTTCCACCAATGACGTCAGCGACAGCCGCCCGCCCTCAGCAATCGTGCCCACTGCCTTTAGATATGAAGAAATAGTGTTTCTACGTGAAATATCTGTAAGAAACTGTGCTACAGTATTGCGAGTTGGAATTTCGTACAAAAATCAT